TTTGTTTCATTTTTTTCTCTGATAAGAGGAATACAGTAGATTACGACAAGAAGTGCGTGTTAGTCATATAATGTGAGGCATAATAAAAACCTTATGATCTGTAAATATTCCTTCCATGGTATTTATACCTCACAAAAATAAAATTTCATGCATCATGCAATAATTTCCCATTTTTAAATACTCTTTTTAATATAAACTGTGATTTTGCATTGTTCCATGAAGTTGCCTTTACACGTTAGATGATCATATTTGAAGGTCAAAGTTTCTTTTTTCAGATTTCTTTTGTAACCCTTCTATTTTTAGTTAGTTTCTCTATTATTTTAGAATTAAATGACTAAATTGCTTTTGAAATGTGTATATATATATATAGAAGATATATTTATTTTTTCTTTTCTTTTCCTTTTCCTTTTATTGGTATTATTCATATTGTGTTATATTTTTTTTATTTTGAATATTCTGCTAGGCAGGTTTTATTTCTTGTTTACTCTAGCAAATGTTCAAATATTTTAAGTTTTGTTTTATGTAAAATATATATATTTTAGCCTTTGATGACTTACATATTGTTTTGTTATTAAAAAACACGATTTTCATCATGATTTTTCCTTCTTTCACTATTATGTCAAAGCTGCAGTTCCTGTTTTCCTGCTGATAAGTAAAGCAATCTATTCTTTTATATTTCCTGTGCTTGTCTCAGTGGCTTATGTAAACTGGAAATAAATGTTTTGAATTTTTTAAATGCTTTCACTGTCAGAAGGAATAAACATTTTCAAGCAGTTTTATCTCCTCTTCAGTTTCCTTTTTTTGGGGGGTGGGTGCCCCTTTATCTGGCAATGACAGTCCAGTGAAGGGGTTTCACTTCTTCAGCAAATGTTACTAACCACCTTACTAAGTTAGATGTTTTTTTTTTTTTTCCCATGCCATTTCCCTTTTGTTGCATGCTTTTCTCTGCATTGCTAGCCAATGTTATTTGTGCTAGTGTACCTTTCCAAACACTCAAAGGCAAGTTAATATTTTAGCTTTTCCAGAATAAACCTTATGTAGTACTCAAGAGTTACGTCGCTGGAATGAAAACAAATATTTACCGGGGGGGGGGGCTAGTGGATATATGTGAGAAGAAAAAAAGGGTTAGATCTCATTTTGGCAGTATTTAAGTCAGCGCTTATGTCAAGATAATTGGCAATGAATATAGGAAACACAAACCACTGTAAATACTTGTTAGAACAAGAAATCCTTGGGGATTATCATTACAGTATTGAACTTTTTTCAAAAGTATGGAGATATACATCAAGTATTATAAGAAGTAGCCCATATATATATCTGTTTCATAAGTAGTTTTCAATCTTTATGATACATGTTTATATTCTTGCAGGTTAGACATAAAGATGGTGATTCAATAATAATTTAAGAATTATTTCAAAACCTAGCTATTTTTTATGGGTTAGTGGCAAACAAAAGTGGTACAGAGTATTTTCTATTATATTTTACGGACATACTTTAAATCATTAACAGTCTGGTAAACTATGTAATCTGAATGATCTACCAGTTGAAATAAATAATATAGTCTACAGCCTAACAATATTCTTTCTCCCTTATGTTTCTTCTTTTTTCTTTTTAGTTCAGACCAGAAAAATATTGAATGTTTACATATCCTTTAACAAGATCATTTTGTATGTTTATTTGATTAATTTTATTTGTGTATTCATATATTTCTGGTGAGAGGCAGCCATTCTATTTAATCAAATGTCTACTGTGTATAGGATGACTTTCTTGCTTTGCTTACAATAGCCGTTGCCAAAGACTACTCTTTCCTGTGCTTGATGGGCCCCTATATATGCTTAGACCCCTTTGCAGCAACCTGATCATGGGCTGGCATGATCAATTTACCAACTTGACTCTGTTAGGTTAGTATCTGGTTTGTGTAGGTGTGAGTACAATGAACAATAGATCTGTTTCACAAAACAGTACTACTTTGAACACCATTTTCCTGGTGGCATTGGGTTAAGTGTTAGCTGATTAGAATGAAAAAGACCTAATGAGACCAAGTTTAGTTGAATTTTTTTCAGTCATGAGAATGGATGCGCTATAGTTGTTTAAAAATGAAGGTATTCTGTATGAGATAGAAGGCATTAAGCATGAGCATATTGTTTCTTATGTTAAGGATAAAGTTTAATATAACAAAATTTGATAAATGCTTTTTCAGGCATTTGGTCTGTGAACACCTTTGGCGATGCATGCCTTCAAATATTCTGGTTTAGGAGAGAAAAGATGGTGTTGCAGCAACTATTAGTCTTGCTTAACCCATTGCCGCCAGGGATGGCATGTATGTACATGCCATGCCCACTGTGAGTCGACTTGTTTGATTGTTTATACACATAGATGGCTACACTTGTACTAAGTTACCAATGAGCCAATTACAGTACTGCCTGTCTCGCCCATTCACCCTTTTCATCAATTTACGGAAATATTTAACGTTATCCTAATTTGCAGTTAAAAATAACAC